ATTTCTCTTTATCCAGATATTAAACGTGTATGAAAACTCTAGGGGAGGGGAATTAAGATGCTCAGTCTGGTTTCCCTTTTCAAATCTCCTGCGGCTGTAGGACTATTAATGTACGTTTCCATTATTATTTGGCAATAAGGTACAAATATAATGGTAGCTTTTTATCTCTCGTTTTGAAAAGTTTTGGGCTGAAATGACAGGTCACATTTATCAAGCAGTAAACTTATGCCAGGCACAGCATTCAGCACTTTCTGTGGCTTAGTTCATTTGACCCTCATACAGCCTGAGAGGTAGGTACTATTATTATCCACGTTTTATAGATGAGAGACGCTGGATGAGAGAGCTGGGTCTCTACAGATTTGTGACTGTTTTTTGTTGATGATAAACCTCCTCCAAGAGAAATGGAAACCTGGAGTGAGTTTGGTGAAATAATCAGGTAGAATTACTATAAAAAACACTTGCTCGATCCTGGTCTGACCACAGAGTTCACGGGCACCATTTTTAAGACAAGCATCTGCTACCTTTATCTGTGGTCACCGCCAGATCATGGAGTTTTTTTTTTTTTTTTTTTTTTTTGGCTGCTTTGGGTCTTTGTTGCTGCGCGCGGGCTTTTCTAGATGTGGCGAGCGGGGGCTACTCTTCGTTGTGGTGCGCGGGCTTCTCGTTGCGGTGGCTTCTTTTGTTGCGGAGCACGGGCTCTAGGCACACAGGCTTCAGTAGTTGTGGCTCGCGGGCCCTAGAGCGCAGGCTCTGTAGTTGCGGCACACGGGCTTAGTTGCTCCGCGGCATGTGGGATCTTCCCGGACCGGGGCTCGAACCCGTGTCCCCTGCCTTGGCAGGTGGATTCTTAACCACTGCGCCACCAGGGAAGCCCTGGAGGAGATTTCTGTCATCTTTTGCAGCCAGGGGTGACAAGAAGACAGGCAGTTTGACGTCTTAAGAACTCCTTGAAGGAAGAAAGTTCATAAAGCTTTTAGAGTCAGTTCTCTGACCCCGTATTACACTCACCAAGCTTCTTCAGTTGGATCCCCGTCCCGTTACCATAACATGCTACCTTATGTAGCATTCTGCACTATTTCAGGCACCCCACCTGTCACAGGATGCTCTGTGTCCCTAAAGATAAAGGGAAATAGAAACGGTCATAGGGCGATATTCATCGAACTTCAGTATCGTTCACTCTTCTTATAAAGGAAGAACATTCTTCGTAACCCCTCGCGTTGACTCGTGATTTCTATTTAAGTTTTACTTATTGTGCATGCATGTAAAATTAAACTCCTTTTGGGCTTCCCTGGTGGCGCAGTGGTTGAGAGTCCGCCTGCCGATGCAGGCGACGCGCGTTCGTGCCCCGGTCCGGGAAGATCCCACACGCCGCGGAGCGGCTGGGCCCCTGAGCCATGGCCGCTGAGCTTGCGCGTCTGGAGCCTGTGCTCCGCAACGGGAGAGGCCACAGCAGTGAGAGGCCCGCGTACCGCAAAAAAAAAAAATTAAACTCCTTTTATTTAGGGTCCTGTAGAAATGAAAAACCAAAACTCATTTGCAAGTTAAATCTAACCAAGACTAAAAGAACCCCCAAATATTCAAATTAGCAACATTCACTAAATGCTAAGGCTACCGTGGGTGGGAGCTGAATTGCTGTACGCAGTCTGAGTGTGGTTCTCACCGCTGGGCACAGGCTTTATGAGCTGCTCAGTCCCGGCTTGTGATCACTGCACTCGCTCACCACCTTTCACTCTTTGAGTGGCTTTTAACCTTGAGTGTGCACGGGAAGCACATGGGGGGCGGGTGCCCACCCCCCCCCCCCCG